TCTGGGCTGGGGACAGGTCGTAGGGTGGAGCTGGTGATATCGAAGGTGTTTTCCAAGCTCAGTGATTCCGTGATGCCAGGAGCAGTGGGAACCACCCAAAGGCAGGTGTGTGGCTGCCTGTCAGATGTAAAAACCAGCTCTGGTGTTTCTGGGCTCCATTTTCCCAGCCCCGAGCAGCTGATGAATTTCCCCGGGAGGCTGGGGAGGACCTGTGGAAGTCCACTCTGTTCCCTCCTTCCTTCTGACCCAGAGGATTTGGAGAACAGCTGCTGTGATGTTTGCACCAGATCATCCTTCCTGGGCTGCTGTGCTGTGAGACAGAGCAGGGCCCAGGGGATGTGCATGGAATTCTCAGGGATTCTCTGGGTTCCTGGGTGGTACCTTGTTGTTAGTTTTGGCTCTGGGATCACCTGTTGAGGCTGATCCAGGCGTGGGTGCCTTGCTAAAGCAATCTCGGTAGTCTGGGACGTTGGGTGGCACTGTGTCAGTGCTTGATTGTGCTCCCAGTTCAGTGTTCCCCTCATTTCTCGGGCTGGGACCTTCCCACATCCCTTGGGTGTTGTTCCTGTGCTCTCTTCCTGACTCCTGGCAGTCTTCAGGCTCCCTGCACCCCTGGGAATGAGCACAATGTTCCAGGCACCTCACCCAGTGCCATTTGGAAGAGTAAAACCTCTGTAGGGGCATTTTGGAGCATTCCCTGTCACTGTCAGCCCTCATGCCCTCACATCAACTCCTCTGCTGGTGCCCGACTTCCTTCTGCATTCCTGAATCCCAGCTGGGTTGGGTGGGTAGTCCTGCCCTGCTGGAAGGTGTGGTCTCCACTGGGGACTTCAGTGACAGCAGCTGTATCAGCCACAGTTCCATTCCCTTGGCTGAGCTGTGCAGTTTGGCAAAAGTCATTTGGAGCCTGAAAGGGTCAGTCATGGAATCAAAGCCTGCTTTGGAATGGCAGCAGTCTTAAATCTCATCCAGTTCCACCCTCTGCCCTGTCCTTGGGAGCATTCAAGACCAGGCTGAACGGAGCTTGGAGCAGCCTGGGGTAGGGGAAGGTGTCCTGCTCATGGAGGGGTGGGACTGGATGAACTCTAAAACCCCTTCCCACCCAAACTGTTCCATGGTTCTGCATCATTGGCCACATCTGCAGCTGTGGGAGTCATTTGCTCACAAAGTGCTGCAGAAAGAGCCCATTTTGGGAGCTTTTGCTTCCTGCCAGTCTCTGGGAACATGTCTGGGAAGTAGTGGAGAAGCTTTGGATGTGCCCCATGCTCTGGATTCTGCATGTGCCAGCAGTAACAGCCAGCACTGCTGTTCCCAGTTGGGAAGGAGCATTCCATGGGGTGTGGGATAGGAGTTGCTGAAGCCATTGAGTACTAAAGGTTACCATGCCCCCAGGGGTTTCCAGAGTTCCAGTGGAATCCTCAAGAACTTAAGATGGAAAATAGGGACAAACACTGAAATGTGGTTGTATCCACCAGGAAGGGCCCTCCCTGGACACTCAGCTGTTGTAGAGGAATTTCTTGCTGGAAAGGGTGGTAAGGCCATTGGAAGGGGCTGCTGCCTGAGGTTTGAAGTCCCTGTCCTTGGAGGTGTCCGAGGAACGACTGGACGTGGCACTCAGTGCTTTGATGTGGTGCTGAGGTGGGGATCAGTCACAGCTTGGACTCTGTGACCTTGGCATCTTTTCCATCCTCTGTGATCCTGGGATTCTGTGCTGCTCAGGCTGTTGCCCCTGGTGGGCTCTCAGGGGATGCTCTTCCAGCCTCTCTGCTGAGTTCCTGTTCACCCTGCCAAGGAGGAGGAGCAGGGATGGAGCCAAATGCCCTGGCCATGTGCTTCATCCTTCCTTTTTGCACTTCTGTCTCCTGGGATCTCTGTGTGATTTGCTGCTTGTGGTTCCCAAATAAATGTGATTCTGTCCTTTTCGTGACTTTATACTTCAGAGTTCTCAGCCCTGTAACAAATTTCCAGGAATGTTTCTGAAATCTTGGCATTCAAACCCCCTAAAAGGGTCCAGCCATGCTCAGATGTTGGAATAGCAGCAGGAATCTGGTTCCCATTTATTTTGTTCCAGAGAAGCTCCTGTTCTGCTTCCTCCACCAGCTTTTCTCGAGTTTTTCTCCCACTTTCCTCGCTTCCTTCTGGCTTTTATGGGATGTGGGAATAAGGTTTCAGGCAAGGAACTGGAGCACAAAGCGCTCAGGTGCTGTTGTCTGGTGCCAGGGAACTGAGCTGAGCCTGTTGCTGGGACCAGGGTTATCCTGAGGTGCCTGGAAAGAGGAAAGCAGCAGCCTGGGCTCTCTGAGGGTGGAGGTTGGGCTGGGTTTGCACAGTGTGCTGCTCTCCAGGGATTCCGGAGTGACAGGGTGCTGATGTTCCTTGGGGAATGTTCCATGGTGAGGGAACCTCAGGAATTCCTGTTGGAGTCATTCAGTGGTCAGCAAAGATCACCCCTGGATCTGTAGGTACTTCCCAGAGGGATGTGTGGTGGCAGAGAGCCTGGAGCCAGCAGTGCCTGGGTGCTCCTGGGCACTGCTGGGTCCTTTCAGTCTCAGCTTTGCTCTCTGTGCTGGAGCTGGGATGTTCCAGAGCAGTTTTTGGAAGCTGTGCCTGCTAATTTGCTCATATATGTAAATTATATTAAACTCAGCCATGCAATGGGCTGGGTTTGGAACCATCACAACAGATTGGGCTCCTGACTTTTTTGTTTTGAATAGTTACAGTCAGCAGCCCTGCACTTTTTTCTTCTCCTCCCACATCTCAGAGCTCCTAAATTGGAATAATCGAGTTTTTAAAGCTGGAGGAGATGGGAGCAGCACTGGGAAAAGGGTTTGTGGACTTTGAAACTGGCTGGGGAGAGCTCTGGGCCTGAGTGTCCAATGGCAGAGATGTGGGAAGGGACAGCTGGTGACAAACAGGGCTTCAGCCAGGTGGGAAAGGACAAGAAGGACTTTTAAAATTCATTTATTGGATGTTCCACAATCAAAATGAGTCCTGGAGATGAGGGAGCCTTCTTTTATAAACAGATCAGCATTTCTGGATTGTGTGTGTAGCTGGGTGGAGATGACATCTGGGGACATGGTCACTACTGGCCTTGGCAGTGCTGGGGACAGTTGGACTCGGTGGCCTGTGAGGGTTTTTCCAGTCTCAGCAGTTCCCTGATTCCATATGGCTTTGCTGATCTCGTTTTCAGCCTGGCTGTGGCCTGTGCAGTCATGGCTTTGTGCACTGGAGTTTGCCAGTTTGCAGCTCCAGCCACCTCTGCTCCTGTGTCAGCTCCTGTTGGTGCCCTGCTGTTCCCCTCATCCTTCTGTTCCTTGTGTTCCACTCCAGCCGTGGACTGCTGAAGGGACCAGGGAAACAACTGCAGCTCTGGATTCTGTCCAGACACCTGGAGAACGGGCTTTGTTGTTGGGAGGCTTTGTTTTCTGTCTGCTCCATGTTCACTGATCCTGGGAAATGCTCACAGGGAACTGGAGACAGCTCAAAACCAGGAGTCTTATTCTTGCTGTAAAATGAGAGTCAGATTGTTGAGGATCCTAGAATGCTGGAATGGTTGGGGTGGGAAGGGAAGCTGTGGCCCCATCCCTGGAAGTGTCTGTGGCCAGGCTGGATGGATTAGAGCAATCTGGGATAGTGGAAGGTGTCCCTGCCCGTGGCAGGGGGTGGAATGGAATGAGATTTAAAGTCCCTCCAACCCAAACCATTCCATGGTTCTGTGACAATCCAGGAGAAGCTTTGCTTTTGGTAAAGAAAAAGCTTCCAGTCTTGGTCCCTGCTCAGAACAGAGGTTTTTCCATGCTGCTTTTACTCGGAGCAAAGACTTCCCACAGGAGCGTGTCCCGCCGAACGCGTGCCCAGGACCACAGGCTGGGGTTTGTCCCTGCTTTTGGGTGGTTGATGGGAAATGAGGAGTTGAGAGAAGGAACCAGCTGTGTTTTGATGGATGGTGCTACCAGAACCCACATGAACACCAAAGGCAGGGTCACATCCTGCTGCTGGGGGCTGGGCTGGAATCACAGTCCCAGCAGTGCCATCCCTGGGTTGCTGAATTCCTGGGATCAGTCGTGGTCCCAGCAGTGGGATCACTGTGCTGGAGTCAGTCATGTCCCCAGCAGTGGGATCCATGGTTGGAGCAGTGGGATCACTGTGCTGGAGTCCCAATCCCAGCAGTGGGATTACTGTGCTGGAGTCCCAGTCCTAGCAGTGGGATCCATGGTTGGAGCAGTGGGATCACCTTGCTGGAGTCTGTCATGGTCCCAGCAGACAATCCATGGTTCCAGCAGTGGGAATGCTGTGCTGGAATCCTAGTTTCAGAAAGCTGGAGTGGGACTTTAGACAAGGGCTTGGAGTGACAGGACAAGGGGAATGGCTTCCCACTGCCACAGGGCAGGGTTAGATGGGATATTGGCCAGAAATCCTTCCCTAAGAGGCTGGTGAGGCCCTGGCAGAGGTTGCCCAGAGAAGCTGTGGCTGCGTCATCCCTGGAAGTGTTTCAGGCCAGATTGGACAGGGCTTGGAGCAGCCTGGGATTGTGGAAGGTGTCTCTGCCAATAGCAGGGGGTGGGACTGTGTGAGCTTTAAGGTCCCTCCAGGGCATTCTGTGATTTGTGAAAGTTTCAGAGAAGGTTTTAAAATGAGAACTTGAGAAAGCTGAGTCAACAGAGCTGGGAGGGAGAAGTGGGAGGAGAACATTGATGGGGACATTAAACAGTGGCTCTTTTATGGGAATGGAGATGATGTGAGCAAGGATTGGGGATTATCTGATTGTTCACAGAAAATGTGGTTGGAGAACTCTGCCCAACACATCCCTTGGTTTGTACAATTGCTGGGATGGCTCTTGCTGCAGGGAATTGTGGGAATATGGACTGGTTTTTCTGACATACAGCTGGGTTTGGGAAGGGTTTTTAGGCAACTGTCATGTTCTGACATGAAGTGCTTTGGTTTCCTGGGAGAGAAGAAACAGGTCACTCCCATGAGAACAGTTTTCCCTGAGCATTTTCTGTTTCCTTAGGGTACAGAGTCCATTAAGATGGAAAATGGGCAAAGCACGGCAGCAAAGCTGGGGCTGCCCCCTCTCACCCCAGAGCAGCAGGAAGCTCTCCAGAAAGTGAGTAAAACTGCTGGGAATTTGCTATTTTTGGGGGGTGGTATTGTTTGTGTTCTTAGTGGGCCTCTGTCCCTGGTGGGTTCCAAAGGGAACTCCCCACTGGATTTCTGGGATCACGGCCATGCTGGAGGGTCCCACAGTCACATACGGGCCCAGGAATTACTTGGTTTGGTTTAGAGTTCATGAACACTTTTGGGAGCATGATGGGGAATTGCTGTTGGGGTGGGTGAGAGCGGGTTTAATTTAAAAAGTAAATTAGTTCAGAAAAGTGGCATCCTGAGTCAGATGGGAATTCTGAGCTAGGCTGTGGGTGCCAGAAAGTCACTGAGGAACAGCCACTGCTCCACGAGGACTGAACTTGGGGTCTGCTGCAGCTGGCCTGTCACTGTGCACACCAGAACACATCCCAGAATATCGCTGTCCTCGGGATGACAGGGATAGAGAGCTCTGTCCTCGGGAGGCTCCATGTGGATGTGCCTGTGCTGTCACAGCTGTCCCCCTGTGTGTGCTGCTTGGCTCCCAGCCTCGTTCCCTCTGGCTTCTCTGGAGCCGAGGGATGCAAATCCCCTTGTCCATTTCCAGGTTTCTGAAGCACACACCTCAATTCCCTGGGTTAGATCCTCCCATTCCCTGGCAGCTCCCAAGCACAGCCATGGAGACCAGGTGCCCAAGGGGTGGCTGAGTGTGTGTCCCAGGAGCGTGCACAGGCGTGGGGATGAGGTTTGCCTTGGCACACAGCCTCTGTGCCGGCACCGCTGGAATCTCTGGCTTTGCCAGATTTGGAGAGGACAGAGAAACCCCAAAGGAGCCTCGTGTGTGCAGGGGAGCAGATCCAGAGCAGGATCTCTGAGAGGGGAGAGCCCAGCCCAGGGATGGCCATGGGGAGGTGGAGCCCCTTCCCTGCTGTAGCACCTGTCTGTGCAGACGCTCTCTGAGAGGAGAGGACTGAAGGAGGCCGTGCCCCGCCCTGGGCCCTGCAGGTAAGGGGCTGTGGTGGGATGTGAGGGCGGAAGAAGGGGATGCCGAGCTCCCAGTGCATGCTGCTTTCCCGCGCTGCCCCTCATGACATCCTGCTGTGTCCCAGGGCCTCGAGGTGCCGGGGAGCTGTGGGCAGTGCTGTGGTGCTTAAGAGATGGAGACCAGAAGGTTCTGGGAGCTGTGGTGCAGAGCCAGGCATCGTTCCCTGCCCCATCGTATTGTCCTGCCCCTACAGCCCCTGTTTTCCTTCCAGGCCAAGAAGTACGCGATGGAGCAGAGCATCAAGAGCGTGCTGGTGAAACAAACCATCGCCCACCAGCAGCAGCAGCTCACCAACCTCCAGGTGAGACCCCCCTCCGAGCCGCTCCCTCTGCCTCGTGCTCCCCCCGACACGGTGGAGTTCTCAGGGCCCTCGGAACCAGAGCACAGCCCTGAGCCTGCAGCTCACCTAGGCACCCTGACTGACCTCACAAATTGCCTGCAGATCTCTTTTGTTCCAAGAGGAAATGGTTAAAAATTCCCGTCCTGTTGGATGTCCCTTCTTGAGATACAAGAAGCCAGAGACTTTGCCGTGGGTTTTGCTTCTGAGCCATGTTTAAGGTGGTGAAGGCAGAAGGGATCCTGGGAACAGTGTCCTGTCACCATCTCCTCTGCCTGAGGGAGGGTGCCTGTGTCCCCATGTCCTGGTGCTGCCCCATTTCCCTCCCCTGCACCCAGGTGCTCTCAATTTTGGAGAAGTTCTGTTGGCTGTTCCTGCTTGTACTGGAATGCCCATACTGGGAGAACCCTTAACTGGGGTTTCACCTCCTCTCCTTCAGAGGTTTCTGGAACGCGTCTCACTGCATTCACTCCAAGTCAGGAAGCCCAAAGCAAGGGCTTTGCCTGAGGAATCCCTGTGGATGTGCTCTCCCTGCCCGGCAGCTGAGGCCGTTTGGGGCTGTGCCTGGTTCTGAGGGTCTGCTCTAGATGAGGGGCTCCTTTTAAATGCTGGGGGTGAATCAACGACAGTGGTTGCAGAGGTTACTATTGCCTTGAGTCCCCCCTGGGATCCCACCCTGCTTCCCAAGGCAGCGGCAGCAGCACAACCCCACCCTGGCCTGGTGGGACCGGACTCGGCAGGGTCCTGGCGCCGGACAGCCCTGGGGACCAGGCAGTGAGGGCCGAGGAAGGAGAGGCCTCTCCGCAGGTGCCCCTGTGCCGCCGCTCTGCTTGAGTTTGTACAAACAGCCGTAGTATGCTCAGCTCCAACAGACTGAACTCTGTCTTTACTGTCTTTCAGATGGCAGCAGTGACAATGGGCTTTGGAGATCCTCTCTCACCTTTACAATCGGTCAATAGACATATTCACTTCTTCTGGGGCACTTGTCTTAGTCAGGGCCTAGCGTGGGGACGTTCGTAGTGGTGCCAATGCTCTTGTCCGCGCCCAGCACAGCCCTCCCACATCCCCACCTGTACTGGACACGCCCAGGAGCAGAGCGAGGTGTCACTGCCCCGAGAAGACCCCAGGCTGTGCAGTCTGCGGGGACACTGCCACTCGGGGGCAAAGACAGCTTTAGATTTCCACCAGTTCTGAACACACCCGTGAAATTGTGGGAGCTGCATTTCTAGGGATGCTACAGTTCTGAGGTCCCGACCTAAAACTAACGGCCAAGGTAACTCACCAAGGGGCGATTTCTTGTGGAACGACCTCCCAGCAGCCAGAGCCGGCCGGTGCTGGGGAGGGCCGGGGTGCCGGAGGTTGGCAGAACATGGTGTAGCCCAGGCTCAGACTCTCTTTACTGTGCATGGTCCAGACCAGGGCAGTATGGCACGTTCCAAGTGCAGCAGGAGCAGGATGGAAGGGACAGAACCGCTGGACTGATCAGAGAACATGTGAGACCCTTTGTGCCTGTTCTAATCAGAGGCCACAAAGGGCTGAATGACCTGGCATGATCCATCCTCTACTTTTCCCTAGACGTATTGGACAAAGTGTCCAATGACTTTTCTCTGCACCCAAAGGTTCATTTGTAAATTTGTTTGCACATTTGCAAATACCTCTCCATCTTGCTGGAGTGTGAGATTTGTGCCTGGTGTAAAACACAGATGGAGGTTTGAACTCCAAGAAGAAGGGCACTGAAGTGAAAGTGAAACCCCCAGTCTCCCTCCTTTGATGATGGATGATGTGTCAGTGGGGAGCCAGAGTGGGTGTTCTGGGGCAGGGGTAAGTGTGGAGTGGAGTGGAGCAGAGCAGCCATCCTGGTGTGCATCTGGCAGAGATGGTGTTGGAGCCCTCATGCCCAGGAACTCCCCCATCCCTGGAGCTGCTGCCTGACAGTGCAACTCCAGCAATTTGGCCTAAATTGGTTTTGGCTCATTCTCCCCAGCTGGGCACAGCTGAGTTGGTGGCACAGGAAAGTTTTAATGACTTATGACCCCCAGAGCACTGGGCTGTGACCCCTTTTCCTCAGCCATTCCTCCCTCAGGAGTCACAGGCAGACCCAGCCCAGGAGCAGGAGCCTGGTACAGTTCAGAGCAGTCAGGATATCCAATTCTTGGCAGATGCTTCACCCCAGAGCCCATTCAGAATGCACAAAGTGCAAACAGCCCCCATCCAGCACTTTTCCTGTTGCCAAGGTTCCCTGGTTCCTTTGTGGAGGCAGCACAGCCCGAGCTCCCTGAGCTCTCGGGTGTCAGGGCTCGAGTTACAGCTTCCCATGGGCTCAGTCCTCCCTCCAGGTGTCACAGTATAAAATTCCCACATCCCTTCACCATCCCCTGGTTATTACTGATGCTCGTGGTGGGGGTTGTGCATCACCTGCTTTGATTACAAGAGCACCCCAAGGTGGGGTTTTGGCCTGTCCTTAAAATTACCTGCCAAATCCCTTTAGAGCAGCATGGCACAGCTGCAGGTGGGGGCTGCTGCCTGGCTCAGGCTTCAGGTGCTTTTCCATGTGACAGGAGGAGAAAGAGGCACAGGGGACAGCGAAATCAGCCTGGGGGCTGCTGAGAGCAGTGAGATGTCCAGGCAGGAGGCCCTGATGCTGACCTGTGCTGAGCTCAGGTGCCCAGGACACATCCCCCACCTGGATGCTCCTGTTGGTGACCCACGGACACCCGGAGTCAGCACAGCCCCTCTCAGCTCTGCCTTCTGCAGGTCTAAAATCCCAGGGTCATTAAGGCTGCAAAAGACCTCCAAGGTCATCGAGTCCAACCTGTGCCTGGTCCCCACATGATCACCAGTCCAGAGCACTGAGTGCCATGGACACCTCCAGGGATGGGGACTCCACACCTCCCTGGGCAGCCTCTTCCAATGCCTTACCACCCTTTCCAGGAAGGAATTCTGCTGTCTGGAAGTCCTGAGTCCTCCTCACTCCCCCACCTCTCCTTTAGAGTCCTGTGGCAGGGCAAGGTGGGGATTTCCTCCTGCAGAGGCTCCTCGGGAGAGGTGCCTCCCTGGGACACCCAGGGTGATGCTGGTGGTGGTTCTGACCCCTGATATGCTTCAGACTGAGGGGATTTCCTGCACCAAAGCTGGGAATGCTGGAGCACCTGGGAGACCACCCAGACACAGTCCTGCATGTGTACGTGCCATAGTCCTGCTGGTCACAGCCTGCAGAGTAAAGAGAGCCATGGCCCAGCCGTGCCGGGAAATCCTTGAGCCAGGCAAGGGGCAAGCTGGATGTCACCACAGGAGCAGCAGTTGGGGCTGGATGTCACCACAGGAGCAGCAGTTGGGGCTGGATGTCACCTCAGGAGCAGCAGTTGGGGCTGGATGTCACCACAGGAGCTGCAGTTGGGGCTGGATGTCACCACAGGGGCAGCAGATGGGGTTTAATGTCACCTCAGGAGCAGCAGATGGGGTTTAATGTCACCACAGGGGCAGCAGATGGGGTTTAAATGTCACCACAGGGGCAGCAGATGGGGTTTAATGTCACCTCAGGGGCAGAGTCTGGGGTGAGAGCTGTCCCTGTCCGCAGTGTCCTGTATGGAATGGCAGGATTTAAACCCTCCCAGGTTGTCTCCTCCTGTGGCCAGTGGCAGTCCTGGACAGGTGCAGGAGAGGGAGCAGGAGTCCCTCGGGTACAGGCTGCACCCATGCTGCTGTGCCTGTCACAGATGAGCTCTCCCTCCTTTTGGGCTGCAGCACCCCCAGGAAGAGTTCCTGTGCTCATTAGGGCAAAAATCAGCCTTGAGAAGGCCCTGAGTGCTTTCCCTCTGCCCCAGGGGTCCCCAGGCATGGCAGAACTCCTCATTATAGCACCCCAAAAATCATCTCCTGAAGGTCCTGGTTGCAGCCCCTCTGTCCTGGGGGTGCTGGGGAGGGAAGGGGGTATTCAGAGCTCCCTGCTGTGGTGCTGGGCAGGGCCAGAGGCATCACCTGCTGCTGCTGCTGCTGCTGCATGTGCTCCGCACCAGCCTCTTCCTGCCCCAGGTGTGTCCCACCTGCCCCAAAGCCATCCCCTCACATGCAGGCAGTGACTCCTCCAGAGCCCCGTGGGGTGGCCACGTCCCTCAGCAGCTCTAGAGCTGCTCTGGGCTGACAGACACGAAGGACACACTGTGCTCTGCTTTTGGGATCCCTCCTGTAAGGAATGGTTGGATTTGTCTTGAAAACAGGTTTCCAGGCAGACTTAGGATGCAGTAGCAGAAACCCTCAGTGCAGCAGCCGTGTGTTGGGGCTGCACCAGTACAGCCAGTGCCGCCAGGCAGGGATGAGTACTGGCACCACACGCTTCTCAGGAGTCCCACTGGGCCATGGAAGTGTTTGGCTTTGCTGTTGAGCTGTGGAAGTGGTGCCCAGTACTGGATCTCGGACTGCCGGGGAGGGGGGAGGCTCTGGTGCCAGAGGGAGCGGGGGGAGGTTCCCAGTTCCAGACCCTTTGCTGCCT